GTTTTTTCAATATTTAGTGCCATTAGTGACAGTAAAGCTCAAGGGAATCTGATTAACTTTCTCTTTATAGAGCAAGGAGACAAAGAACATTGTCCCATCGACCAATTGCTCGAGTTCCATGAACGATATTTGCTGTGGCTTTTGATATCATACAACGAGGAACACAACATTAAAAACAGCGCAGACATGACACCAGACGACATGGACAGTGATGAGCGAAAAAGACTTATTGAGGTGCGTATTGATTTTGTTTCATAAATGTGTTCAGTCTGACCCGTGAGATAGGTAAAATTTGATGACAGTTATTTTTTCTTTTGTAATGCAGTTTGAGTTTGTTTCACGCGATAAAAACAGCGATGGCGTTTTGGATTTCAATGAAGTCAAGGAGATGGTGGACGAAAGGGAACCTTGTATGGTGGCTTTCCTACACTCGTGTGACTTTGATGGAGTGGATGGTATTTCTCATAATGAATGGAACACATGTTTCCCATCAAAACTAGAAGGTAAAACTATAAGGCTGATCCTTCATACGTAATTGCCTTGCGCATGAGATGGATCTAGACTAATATTTAATGGAGTGGAGCTGTAAAGCCTATTGACTCCCTTCATTTGGTAATCTTACCTTATTTGAAATACAAATGAACTCATTTTTCCAGCTTCGAGGGCTTTAAAAGATCTAAACTTCCAGATATTTTAGAGACGAAATCACAAGTCGGCCATGATCAAATTCACTTAGAGACCACGCCTTTAGCAAAACCAAAAGGAAGCCCAAAACCACAGGGACCCCAGGCGAATGCATAATCGTTAGAAAATACATGCACCATACGGCAAACTAAGTTAATTATGGCTGTATATAATTGCTGTGATCCAATATATTTGTTTTATATTTTCAGAATTCGACAATGAAGAATCATAAATTCAAAATGGATGGAAGTTTTTTAAGCAAACTGCTTGTAATGAAATAATAATATAGTTTAAAAAAGATAGGCTTATAAATTCAAAGGATCATAGTTATCCCCAGGCTATTCTCAGTCAAATCAGATCCAAGATGCGAACACTCTTGGCGCAAAAGTTAAATTGAAAATGACTTCCCGCAGGAAGACTGGGAGTAGCCTGGGGACGATGCTTCGTCGCCCGCGCAACATAGCACTGCTACTGAAAGACGAAAGCTTGCTTGTTATTATTTCCGACGTGAACACAGCTGTATACTGCGTCCTCGAATCGGGCATACAATGCTCGAGAAGGCTTTTGCTAGGTTAAAAGCTCATGCTTTAACATTTGTAGTCAATATATATAAACAAAATTTTAACTTCAAAATATCTAAGAAAATATTTGTTTTATAGCCGTGGGTAAATTGTGAAATAAAGTGCTTGGTGTTGCTCTTGCGTCTCTCTTGCTTACATCGTACTTACGTGTAGTGTTCAGTTTACGTTACAATCTCCTGTAATGGCCCGACTCTGGGGAACTCTGAGAAAGTGTCCGTCAGGTTGGCTGACTTATATGAGTCTTCCGCTTTCGTGAAGATCTCTAATAGATAATCCGTAACACAGAATAGCTTCATATTTTTGGTAGAATGCATCTTTTCAAGAAACAGATGATTCATTTTAGTGATTATAATTGTTTTATTTGCAATTCGGAGAATCCTTGTAGAAATATTTATTACTGTTATGCAGTAGAATCACATTTTGAAGTGTTACTTGTTTAAAAAATKCATGTTTTATGGACATACATTTTACAATAATACTATGAAAAATTCTGTCTGGATCCGCCCACTATAATGCTGTCGTTGTGGATAACTTGGTTGCGGCAACTGACCTTTACCCTTGCTTCGAGGTTAAAACCAAAGCGAGTTGTTTGCTRCAGCATTCAAATCAAGCAAGAGTGCAAAGTAATACCAAAATTATGCCTTTCTTCATCAACAGGAATTATTTTCGGGACATTGATAAACAAGCTCAAAAATAACAATTTGTGTCGTTGCCCGATGCTGCCTCGCTTTGATGCAAAACCACAGCTCGCGCAACTTTTTTTAGTAGTATACAAAATATAAACTTGCATGGCAAGCTGTTAGTATATATGGTGAACATGTTTATATGGTGACTTGAAGACTTTCAGTCTTTTGTTTCTTGAAGGTATTGAACTGTTAATTCACTTTTGGGTTTTCTGTGGTTTTCAAGTAACAGGGACCCCAAACCACAAGAGTCCACGAAACGTCCAGCGGGTACTACCAATCATGTTTGATCAGAAAATGGCGGAATATTCAATAATTTTGATGATTTTTGTTTTCCCTATTTTAACCCATACGGCGTATAGCACAAAATCTACTAAAGCCGGTGGGTATTTTAATCRCCATTCATTTTATACTCTTAGTTTTGATACTAAAAGATGCTTTGGACACTAAAATGAAGGATATTTTGTGGCACATGTACCAGGTACAGACATCACAGTCGAATCCCTCAAAAGAAATCCCAAGGTTTTGACGTCTCCACAAGTTTATTGCGTCAAAGGCGAGTCCARATTTCAACTTTGGCAAACTTGGAGCACAGTTGAAGTAAAACTGAGGTTTAATACTGAAGGTAGTCGCTTGTACACGGCTGAAAGGTGAGTGAGAAAGACTACTGTGACGATAGACTTCAAAAATACATCCAAATCCAACCGTAGTTAATAGAGGAGGACCCCCTCTTCTAACTATGATCCAACAAATTGTTTATTATAGCACTCGKTACTCGGCAATGTTGTTACAGGAAGCATGTGATAGGACGTTTTTTTTAAAAAAAACAAAACAAAATGGAATAAAAGTGATAAGCAAATTATAAACCAAACGTTTTGTTCAACATTTTCATACTATGGGCTTCCTGTGGTCTTGTGTAAGGGCATTCAGCAGACCCATCCTTATCCAGTGGATAAAATCTTTATTAAATCTCATTCTGTGCCGTCGRTAACAACATCTATCATTTTTTGTATAACTTGGCCCAGATTTATCAGAAAGGAAATAAAACAAACAAACAAAGAAACAAAAAAAGAAAATAACAACAACAGCAACAACTACAATAGCAACAACAACATCTATGATCTTTTGTTGCAGATTATGCAAGAACCTGAATTATTTTTTTGTGATACCAGAATACTTTTACCTTAACTCCTSACTGACTCTTAGGAGTACAAAATTTTGATTTTTAACAAACTGAATTTCTATGTTTAATTACAGCCGAGAAGCTTTGGAAGAAGCACAAAATCCATCTATAGCCAAGAGATTCCTGTCTCTAGTTGCTGAAACAGATGCCATTAGTAGCAATGTTTCTTATTTATCCCCATTTAAGCATACTTGCTTTGATATAAAAATACCAGAAAAACGTGTACGACAATACAATGTACAACTAACCTTAAAAAGTAAGTGAGGGGTTTTCACAGCAAATAAATTTGTGCAGTGTGAGTTTTAATGGATAATTTTATGCRATTTCTTTTAGAGTTTCACTGGACATTCCCTCTTTCACTTTTATTTGGTTTACTGCTGTTTATAAATGCGGACAATCTTAGTAGGTGAGCTGGTTTTGAACCCCTAGATTAATTTTTGGACTTTCCACAAGGTTGAGTGGACTRCAYGTTCATAGYTCATRAYGCTGTGCTCAACCAAATCAACTTGTAGTTCACGAGACCTATTGGTCTAATTGTTTTAGTATCCAACAAATTATACTGCAGATTTGAAGACCACAAAGAACAATTTTTAATGAAATGTTAATTGGATGCAAACATGGTCTATCATGAACATACCATAGTTCAGCAGCCAATTATCTGGATTTGTAATAGCCAATTATTTGGGGGATATTCAGCAGCCAATTACCTGGATTTGTAATAGCCAATTATTTGGGAGATACTGATAATTGATAGATCATTTGAGTAGAGTAAAGTTGACAATACCATTCTTGCTGTTGATATGTTTTTATTAAATGCAGGAGTGTAACATTCTACTACAGTTCTGGTATAGTCCTTGGAATAGGAGTGTCTCTTTTACTAGTTATTTTTGTGCTTCATCGTTTAGTGCCATCTGTAAGTTCAATATCTAAATGTTAAATTGTAAATTGAATAAATTGAAKWAAAAGGCACACAACTTGCAASTAGTATTTCTACTCTTTATTAGAACGTTTYGGCACTTCGGCCTTCTTCAAGCAATGTTTWATTGTATATATTGTTTATATAAATGATTTAGTATATTAATTATCAAACATATTTTAACAGCGAGCTGGAGCTTACACTCTTCTTGCTGGTGGCTGGAGTTTATCACTSTACTTCTTACAATGGTCATGGAATAACCTAGTGGATCTTGTACTGGAAAGAAACCCATTTGTAGTTGGATATTTCCTTTTCGCAGGTATGTATATTCAGWATCATTTTACATTAACCTGAGTACTAGGSTCCCTTAGAGARGAAAWYGGAGAGGAGAGAAAATGGGAAARTCCTTCCTTTTTACCCCATCTYTCTCTACAGGCTCCCTCGAAGGCCTGATACTTARTTTTACATGGGTCATGGGGTCAGGGAAGAGGGAGCTTTTAAGCCTTAAAAGGCTTCCCTTTTATTCTTCTTTGCTCTTATTTTGACCTATGTCAAACTACACACAGACACACATTTTTTTAACTTATTCAAATCTCAGCTCTGACTCTTGTATGAGAACAGAACAGAACAGAACTTGTAGCACTTACGGGATTGTTAGTCAGTCCTCGCACTTTTCTAGGACCCTAAAATATTTGCTTTTTAACAGCTATAGTTTATTTCTACATGGAAAAAGAAAAAATAAATAAATAAAAAATAAGATAAATAAATAAACAAACAAAAAACAAACAAAACAACAAAAAAACAAAAGCAAAAACAAAACAAAACAAAAAAAAACGGCTCATGATTGCGGTTCATATGAAAAAGTGCGAGAAGTACAACTCCCATCATGCTTTGGTGCGCAAAAGGGCGTCGCTGCACGTTGCCTAATTCTGTTTGTCTTTGCTGCTTACAGGTCTGATCAGTTTTGGCATTTGTTACTACAATGGGCCAGTTACTAATGAACGTGGTATTAACCTCATTCGTTGGACCATACAGCTGATTTCAACCTATTTCATTTTCAAAGGCGTTCAACCTGAATCCKTGTCTGTTGCTGTTGTAATAATTGTTTACATATATAGCTTTTTATCGTCTGATCTTATACGAAGGTTGCTCGATCTTCTACCTGAGAATTTGTAAGTAATAGTTTTATTTGTGTGATTTATGGTTTGTTTGTTTGTTTTGCTTGGTTTTGATTCGTTTGTTCCCGTTACCGCAACACGTGTCACGTTACGGAATACGTATCGTGCAAAGTCCATTATTAAGAATCATAGTGAAAATAATATAAGAAATTCAATATTATATTGYAACGGTTTAAACTAGAACTACACTACAATCTTTTGCAAAATCTTGTGTGAAACACCGTCTATGATTGTGTTACTACAACCTCCCCTCCCTTTTTACAATGTTGTTCGTCAATGAATTGCAACAAAATCGACAAGTATGAGGAAATGAACTTGTGTGCAACCTTGCAAAGGGGAAAGGAGGGAAGGGTGCCGTATATTTTGCATAAGATTGTAGATCTCCCGACACTGGTGAAAAACGCACTGCGCATGTCCACAGCTTTCCGTTGAAATCTGCCTAATTTCCTTTGTAAAGCCATTTTTGTGAAAGTTTTTTTACAATTTATAAGCTCGTTCACCGATATATAAGATTCATATTTCCATCAATCTTTGTTCATGATATGTTCTTTTGGTATGTAGTTTCTTTTTTTATCTTGTCATTTCTAGTTTGAGAAAAATGAGGTTTTTCGTAGTGTTTTCTGTGCTGTCGCTGTTTACAGATTTCAAGACGCGAGCGCTCACTGGCGGGAAATCTGTGGGCATGCGCAGTGCGTTTTTCACCAGTGTCAGATCTCCCCCCGTTCACGAGGTGTTACGCAATCTCTCCTATTGTCACGCATTACAATTCTGTCACAATGTGAAAAGATATGATATCAGCCTGAAAAGCCTAAAAACCTCTGAGGAATCTCATATAATATCAAAAGTGTTCATAGTAATCAGCATCCGTAGTAAAGAGAGTTACTTTCAGTGTTAAATATATTTGCACCTCCCGATTAAAGGGCTACTTGGACAAAAATTGCGAAACATTAGAAAAGACTTGGAAATCAAATAGACCTATCCATATGGGTCTAATAATCATGAAGCAACAGATTTCAAGAAGATATTGATACAAATCCTTAATAATTTATGCAAAAAAATGTTGGAGTAGATGACGTCATTCACTCCATCCTTTTGTTCTTCCATCTTTTGAATCAAAATTTCTCTTATGTAGGATAATTCCAAAACAAATATTTTCCCGCAATTGTTTTTAATAGATATAAATGAATCATGTTTGTATTGATTGAGGTTTTGAAATAAGGGCATTTTCATGCAAGCAGCACTTTAATTAAACTGAAAGTGTCCGCAATTAAGGGGTTCGAATCCTCAATTTTGTATAATTCTGAAAATTGCAATGATTAATTGACTTACCAAACATTATTTCGACTTTAAAAGAAACCTTTCATTTGTTTTCAGGATTTCATATAGAGTCCAGTATTACTTATTCCCACCCAAGACGCAGTTTTTGACACAAGAAGAGTACGAAATTCAAGGAGTTACYGAAACGAAAAAGGCATTAATGGAACTAAGATCATATTGTAATAGTCCTGATTGCGATGCGTGGAAGGTTATTAGCAGAGTGAAGGACCCCAAAAGGTGAGTTTTATGAAATGTTTGAACATAGAACGACGGTTGAAAGAATGGGGATATTACAATTGTAAAGTTGCACTATAAATTAAAGTGAAGTGAATTAACAATTGACCGATCCGATAACCCTAAATAAGGATAATATGATTGATTTGTGATTCTTATTTAGCGGAAACAGGTMAAAATTCGTTTGAAACTAACCGTCATCCACCCCGATACAATGATATATGTTTTGGGTCAGAATTTTTGAAAATGACTGTAAAGTCATAAATGATATGCAAGAGCATGGACGCCATTTTCTACTACATACCATGAAAAAGTGAGGACTTGCCTTCTCGCAGCGTGCACTTAACAATAGACTGCTACCATTGGTCCTTTACCCTTATGACGTATGATGTTATGCAAGATGCATCATGGGATTGCAAACAAAGGATTACTCAAAAMSATAACTCGTAATAGTCTCYTTCACGGTTACCTGCGCCATCTTGAAAGGTAGCCGTGCCTTTGTATCGAAGCGAGACAACCGTTGAGCGTGTAATGCTAGAAACCTGTGAAGAATTGTCTGTAGGTGTGAAAGAAGGTTTCTATCATTGCACGCTCAACGGTCGTCTCGCTTCGATGCAAAGGCASGGCTACCTTTCAAGATGGCGCAGGTAACCGTGAAGGAGACTATTGTTGGAGTACTCTCTGCACTGTTGGTTGCACGAAATTTTTTATTGTTCTTCTGAATCATGAAGCATAATTTTGCAGTCGTATGGAAACTACGTCCTTCGTCAGTTCTGTTTAATGATATTCGCCATCTTGATATTTTTGTACCATGATGCACTTCGCTAAAACAAACATGACGTCACTAGGGGAAATGGCGATGGTATTAAGTGGTGTTTTACTTCWACAGGCTGTCATCTTTCATTATCGAAGGCACTCACATCACGGATGATGAATATAATCATTTTGAARACAACCCATTCGAGTACCCAAGTCCASACGACTTTAATGACGACGATGACTACGACTAAGGTTTTTTAATGAACTTTTTAAATGCAGAACTGAATTGTCGTTTATATTATTTGTATATTAAGATAGTTTTTTTTAGAATTGAAATTTATAGAGTATTTATAGTTTGACAAAATGCGGGTCAAACCCGATCCCTGCTTGTAGAGAGGAGACTAGGCACTACTTCAAGATCGTTTCWTAAGTCYGCGACCAAGATTTTTGATGTCAGCGGCAAATCTWTAGCCTCGAAAGCCAGTTTGTCATCCGAAAATCGTTATTTTTAAAAATGGGTCAAACGCCGTATTCGCCTGACGTATCTCTCATGTGATTTGGATTTTATACCAGAGAATTTAATAGCAGTCTGAAAGATTTTACACAACTCTGGCGTTAGAACTAATTCAGTTGTCACACCACAAGTTATTTTCTAGGGACTGTTACCATGTTGTCAAAATGACAAGCGTTGCTTTGTAATTTTTGTATTTTTAAATTATAGWTATAATAAAGTTTGCATGTCGACATTTTCATTTTGCTCTAATTTTTTTTGCGAATTTTCTTTTGAAAGCAGCTTAGAGCTTAGTTTCGGCGAGATAGGACTGAGTTTCCAGCCTAGCCAACTGATTAAAATTTATTTTAAGTTATATTATTTTAAAAACTGACCTTTCTAAACGGATAAACATCATTTTAATCCTTAGTGAAACCGAAACATTGATATTAACGACATAATTTGCCAGAAAGGCGCCATATATAGTTAGAAGAATTGCAGGACATTATCTTTTCAAAATAAGACGTTACAAATTTCCTAGAATTTTAAATATATTTTTCTTAATTTGTTCATTTTATTGACGTAGTTTACATTTTATATGATCTTGTCAGTGATGCAATATAACAACATTTGGATCAGTTGACTTTTTCTTAATTTTATGATCAATGATTACAGTATGAAATTGTGACTTTGTTGCTTATTCTGGACATAGATGTCAGACGAAACACATTTGAAATCAAATTTGGTCGTTTCAGTTCCAGTTGTRAGCTCAGATCCTTGTATTTTAGTAAACAATTCAACATGCGAATCAGGCAGCACTCTCCACGATATTCCCATTTAAACGGTTAATGTCGACTTGAAAAGTTTCACGTCTGTTAGGACGAGAAAGGCACTAAAAGCAGTGTSGCTTCCATGACAAGTTGTATCAACTGGTTTTGCTTGTGTAGTTCTAAAAAAGTAGAAAAACTAACAATAAACGACTGACTTCCTGAGAGGTCAACATACAAGTTAAAACTGCTTTTGCTAATGTACATTATGCAAAAAGTGGCATATTTTTCACTCTCAACGACATATTTTGTTTGTAGCTTATACTTGTAGCAATGACAGTCGACGTATCTTGCCGACTTCTCGGCTGACAGGTTTAGACACTTGACTTTTTATTTACAATTGACCTGCCTGTGTCTTGTACAATTGAGGTAAATTGGGGTCAACAGTCCATCGTTATCAATCAAAACCGTTATTAAAAAATACCATTTTAACAAACGAAAACCCATTACTCTGTTTTGGCAACACTTTTTAAAATGATGGATACAAGAGAATTCCGTGCGTCGTCAAGTTACATTTATGGGACGAAACAAGTCAGTATTTTTGCTTGAGTTTGGCGTTAATTGTAAAAGGTTCAGTCATTTTGTAGTAAATATATACAACATGCTTTTGCGGCGATCAAATGAATTCCTGCATGTTAAACTCATCGAATCGTTCACGCGAAAATGCTAGGCTACAAAGACCTGCTACAGTTGAAAAATASACCACGTAATAAACACTTAAACCAATTCCGTTAGAATACCACCCTATTCTCCTTGAAGAAGCGCCCTAGGCCGTTACATGCCCAGATCATAGAGGTTACAATGACACAAAAGGAATTACTTCAGTTACTAGAAGGGTCACGAGGGGGATTTGCCGAGATGATTCGAGTTAACACAGCATTTGACACCAGTAAAAACTTCGTTTGTTTCAACACAAAGTTTATCGAACTTAACTGGTGTACGTACAGTGAATCAACAGGTGTATAGCCTATCACAAAGCTCGATCAACCAGCGATGCGTTTAAACAATGGAAATGCCACGATCGTTAGCAAAGACAAAGAAGAACCTTTGAATAATTGACGTTCAACCCTCACATATAACTGAATTCAAAACACTTTTGGCACTCAGTCAGTAAGGTTGATCGGATCACAGACATAATCCGAGAGGTGAGCACTTGATGAAGTTTTTTTTAAAAAAAGATCTTTTTGACACTTAAATGGGTTTTTTAGCTAATTAATTGCAAATCGAACACATGATCTGGGTTTATTACTGATACTTGTTTGTTAATCGATTCTATTTCAGCCATGGATTACAGGCTTTTATTTGGCTCTCTAGTCGTCTTGATTGTTGCCGTTTCGGGCAAATCGACAAGCAAAGGTAATTTTTTAGATGCTATTTGCAATTATTTTTTACCTTAGCAACTTTTATCAGACAATTTCATCTTTTATTGTTGTTCTCGATTGTCTTTTTGCTTATCTTCAAATGACCCATGTAAAAACCTTCATTAAGTGGCAAATTAGATAATGATTATAACACATTTGATTACATTTGACTTTTATTTCAATTCAAAGTCTTTGACCACGAAGTCCTTTTATACACTTGAACAACTTTAACTGTATTGCTAACGTTAAAGATTAAATATTAASAGTGRTTTTGAATTAGAATTTTCCTTTTGGCTGGCCGCTTTTTTCATGTGGGCAGCCAGAAAGATTGCTGTGCCTTCATAAGTAGATTACAGTATATTTAGTATCAGACTTGAAATAGTATTTTAATATAACAATAAAATTCTAGATCTAAAATATGTGATGTAAAAGTAAAGCGCTCTCTTCTCACAACCACCTAATTCCTACTCCTATTTTGTTATATATTTTCAAGTGAATATACTCTTGTCAATGCAGTGAAATAATGAGCTGCTCTATTTGTTCGATATTCAATATKAAGACAATTGTTTTAGGTTGTGTTTCAAATTATTTCATTTGAATAGTTYTTGTAACGGTACTTTGTCCACTAACGTTATGTTTATACTAAGGTTAACCACCCGACGTATCCACCCGCTTAACATTTTGAATTATTCAGAGCAACCAGAAATAAACCCTTAAAAATTCYGCCAATAGCGCACTTGAAAGAATCTTTAAAAAAACGTCTTTTTTATATATGAATATACGAATGTTTTTTTGCGAAGATTCTTTTGCTTTTACACATAACGTCTTCCAGTTCAGTCAAACAAATTTCATTGATATCAGAAGCAGTTATAGAATGTGAAGTTGTTATAATTTTCGAGGTCTTTCTTAGTTTTAACTTAATCTTTGCGCAGCATTGCTAGGTGATATTATTTCATTTCCTTCATACGAGAAATTTACATTAGATTCATGACGAACATAGGTTTCCATTGAGAGTGACATGATAACATAGACCAAAGTTGTTAGAAATGTAATTACTATTTTTCCTATTATGTGATTTTTCATTTATTCCCATAAATCTTGAGTGGAAGGGCACTTTTTCAGACAGTGGGTGTGGTTGCTTGACACMCACACGGACTCTCTTAGTACGCTTTTGCTTSTTTGTCGTCCAGAACATCCTAAAACCGCATTTTAAAATCTCATAGAATYATAGAAATATTCTTCAGTAACAAGGTGGTTTAACGATACACTTTTTGTCAAGTTAATGGTTATTATTTATAGGGTAAGCTTTGAAATCAGCATCTTCGTCGATGTATGTCTTAGTCAAGAATCGAATTTCTAATATCGTTAAAAGTTCTTCTTCTTTGACGTGTTTCTTTTTTTAACTTATTAATCGTCCTTTGTAACACAGTAATGTTAATCCAGTTGAAAATGGCATTGACATTTTCTCAGTTTCTTGTTTTGCTTGATAATGGTGTCAAGAAARCATCAAAGAGTCGTGCTTATCTCTATTATATTTAAAGGCCCAGTTTGCACCATTATGCTTTGCGCGCCTCTGTTATTGTTATATGATTTACACCAAAATACTTCTAGTATCCAAATATCACCATAAAACGAATTTCAGATGGTTGAAAATTCTTAAATTAGCGTTTAAAGTGCTTATAAAGTGAGATGGTCAAAGATTCGAAACACAGTACAATTTATAGACTATTGGTAAACTGAAAATGGCCGCCTCCAGGCCCTCGCGGCCCCCAAAGCATAATGGTGCACACTGGGTCTTTAATACATTACTGTGCCTAAAATATACCCTTATAAATTTGCTATACACAACAGTATATTTCTGTCTTGTMTTCCATCATACTTACCGCATGAAATTTGTGTTTGTCTTGTGTAGGACTCGTTTCCAAACGTAGCCCAAATCCTTGTCCTCCCGGATGTCCTGGCGCTTGCGCACCAGCATGTACCGCTGTATGTTGTTCACCACCACCACCACCACCACTTCCCCCACTCCCACCAGCACTCCCACCACCACCTCCACCAGCACCAGGCCCACCAGGTCCAGACGGACCCATGGGAATGCCAGGACCATCAGGACCCGACGGACCTAAAGGACCCCCAGGACCACCCGGACTTCCAGGACCACCAGGTCTGCCTGGTCTCCCAGGTGCCCCAGCAGGACCACCAGGACGTGATGGACCAATGGGACCTCCAGGACCAGCTGGAAACCAAGGACCACCAGGAGATATGGGACCAATGGGACCACCAGGACTTCCAGGAAACCCAGGCCCACCAGCACCACCAGGCCCACCACCACCATGTCCACCAGTTTGYGTGCATACTTGTATCAAGGCTTGTTCTCCAGCTTGTTGTGGTCACGGCAAGAAGAGATCTGCTCTTATGCAATAGGAATCTAGACTGATTTTTTATACTCGCTCGATATATACGTGATAGGGATTATCACGCTCACAACACACGCACACGCACACGAATCACACACGCACTCACAAGCATCACSCACGATTCTCTCGCGAATCACTGATGTGAAATTATTTTCTAAAATTGAGATTTCGATCTGTTTGGCCACATGTAGTTTGTTATGATAAACTTATTATTATAATATATGTTATTAAATATTTTTGTGTTACATTAAACGATTCTGTGAATCGAAAAATCGATACAAAATCGTGTTATCGTCGTTGTTCTTTCATTCTTGGATTATGAATTATCCTCCTTTCTCGAATTTAATGAACTTTTTCATCATTCTTGTTAACTAGAAAAGCACTTCGACTCTCAAACAAACACGAAAGTCAATTGCAGTCATCTCTCTATCTATTTTTATGTTTTCATTGACGTACAGGAATGACCTTTGGACTAAGGCATCCGCCATCTTGAATTTTATCGTTCCCTAAGGAATTATGGGATGCATCATTGGCATTTATCTGAAAACACAACGCGGACGAGCTATGGCTCTGATGGTAAACGATTCAATTTTACTTTATGAAACTTGGCCGTCTTACAGCTCAAGTCAACGAATGGAGCTTATGTTGCTTTTGTAGCCTTTTATCATTTGGGCTTCCTGTTGAAGGAGCACGTGGCGGGTACTGAACTGACACCGAAATCAGAAAAAATTCTAGAACAGCTTGAATGCAACAAGTGACGGAAGCGCTGACACAAGTGCAAACACAAGATTCATTCGGAGAGATAACGAAAAGTGAAAAAGCGCAAACTTATTTTCAAATTCCAATTCCGTCATCTTGAATCAGTCTAAGGACGAGGAAGACTGGTCGAATAAGGTTTGTGATTGGTCCTATTTGTCACCTGACTTGCGTTGTTTTGTTGAGCAAAACGAAACACAAGCGTTATCACTGAGTTTAGTGGTTTTCACAACTCTTTCGGTTTTGATCGTCCCTGCGTTTGCGCCTGCGTCGATAGTGAAAACCATGTCCGCTAAAGCAGTACTTTGCTTTTTCTTTTTTATGGAGATTTTAGTTTTTGTTAGTGACTACAGAAAGTCGGAAGACACTATGCTTTAGTTGTGCAAAATGGCATCGCTGAACTTCGACTGTAAATCTTCTATTAGAAGTAACTGATTATTAAAAATTAGTATGTATTATTATCTTAATTATTATTAGTTGTTATTTATCATTATTATTTCCGTTTTCGTAGGCAGTTTTGAACTCGACCAGTTTAGTAATTATTCAGTGAGGTTTTTAATTTTAACGGTTAGAGATCTGTACTTTTAGAGATTATCAAATGTTAGTACATTGATGAACAATTAACTCTATATCACCATTTGGACTTCCTGTGTAAAAGCCAGGACGAGTTGGAATGTGGAGAGGAAGTATAAGCTTATGAACCAAGTTCATGTCGTAACATGATCGGTTAATTTCRCTGGTGTGAAAACAATGAAACTGATATTGAATAAAATAGAAATAAAGAGTAATAATTGAAAGAAAAGGAAGACTTAAAGATGAACAATTTGAATCAAAAAGTATAGATATTAGATTAGATCACTCAAATATAAGAATGAAGAAACTTGACCGTGAAACAAAGTGTGCAATAGAGACAAGAGAGTGCTACGTTTGATCACGGGTTTAAGTCACTGTACGTCAGTACGCACATTGTATAAAAAAGACTAAATTTCCTAGGGAAAGCACTATAAAAGTTATAAAAGTTAAATAAAAGTAAATTATAAAATTTATTATAAAAGTCACCATTTTCATCAAATCAGTGCCTCTTGTAAAAGACCAAATGCGCCTGACAATGGCAACCAAAGGATTTCATTTCCAACTCTTTGTCCAAGAAGCTTATGATGAGCTTATTATCTTATTCTTTATCAAAACCTTTAAGCTTCTTACTTACTGAATTTTTCTAAGAAAGGCCAATAGAAATAAAAGCAAACATTCAGATTTTATAGTAGTGCTCTTGGTAGTAATGGCGCATTCGTAGTTGTTTTTCTTAGATTTTTTTCTTGTACTTACCATACCTTTCCTGATCGGATATCAGTAAACTGCTCCAAGTACTTCTTTCTCTTCCATGATYTCTAATATCRATAAGTYTTTGTACGCGGCGCAGGCCAAAGGTGCGAGGACAAATGGAGTGTGATCTACTTGTCACAAGTAAAGAATGAAATTCCAACGGATTGACCAACACACACTAACGTCTAGTGCTGTATTCATATGCGCAGATGGAGCGATTCAATATGACTTGTTTGACTATATTACCTGATAAATTCTGACAGATTATAGTATTACATTTTTTGGGAGTTATGATTTAGGCTTAGGCGGGAATTCTCCACTCCCATGTTTTTAAAAAAACGCAAAGCTCTTGGGAAAGTGTTGCGTTTGAGTTGCTTCTGTTGTTTAACAATGCTGTAGAGCGAAGCAAACATATGGTATGTTTTGGATATAGACATAATAAATCCATATTTAGTTCAAGGAATGAAATACTTCTCAATCGTTTGTAATGAGGTAGTAGCTCCAACAAGATGTTCAGTTCYATAAATAACCAATTATAGTTAGCTAATTCTTTTGACCTTTGTCATCAGCAAAATTTCACTAACTGAACTATATCATGTCTTGAATAATAGATAATAAGCGAGCTTGCATGGATTGTATTCAGTCAAAACAGGTCATACTTTGACCTACCTGCATTCGCAAGAAAAATCCTAAAAAAAGGATTGATTTGAACTGGCTGTTTGGTATTCATATTTCCTTTGCTGAAAGGAGTGTCAAAAAGAAATCTTTTTTTTATAAGCTAGTGGAATTCTTTACGAGGAAAAGCAGTTTCTTTGTATATATCGAAGTCTTTGAAGCGTTGCAACTTTTACTTTTGTTTAAAAGCGATCGGTGAAGAAATTTTTCATCATTGATAATTCATGAAGTCAAACTATTAAGATTCAAGTAGGTGAGTTGACTGCCCACTTCGCATTGTTGCGTCTTTCAGTCCGGACAGCAAGGTAAGAAAACTTGACTTTAAACAAAGCATTTCTTTACTAAAATGTAGTTTCAATATCTAGTTAATCTTTTCCCTGGCGAGCAGTATTGAATTACCTCATATTTTGTCTAGAGTTAGCAATATTTTGTCTTCAATTCGTAATCACCATTGTTTGAAATTTGATAGGAGCTTTACCAGGTAAATCAAGCAAAGAAAGACAGTTTTATTTTTATTTTTTCACGAAATTCAGTTTTTATACGACTTCAAATACGCTTAGCTTTACTTTGTAGCTTTATTTCAAAAATATTTCCTTGTAAAACTCCGGTGTCGCCTGAGTCAAAGGAGACATTATTTTGAATTGGGAATCGTCAGTCAAAGTATTTAGTTTTTAGCAATAGTGATGCAACATGGCTTATAAACTAAATCTAAATAGTCCTGAATAGTGGTTTGATAGTGGTTGTTTATGTTGGAAACTGTACGCAAGCGTAACACTTACGCCGACGTTTACGCAAAAAGGACTAAAACTGAACTGATTTATTTTCTTTCAGATGCGTTTACAGGTCCCTATATTAGTGTTTGTGTTATATGTTGGCCTTGCTGCCAGCGCAAGTGTCAAAAATAAAAATTGTAAGTACAGAAGCTATTCTTCTCAATCTCAAATGGGTTGAAAGTCGAGATAACTAAACAAATTGTTTACCTCTTTATCAGCAAAGGCACCGCCCAAGATATTAGCCGATAATAAGCGAAGTCAACAAGACGCTTGCGATATCACAGTTTGCGCGACGCCATGCGCTGAGTCGTGTCCACCTTCTTGTTGTCCTCCACCGCCGCCTCCTCCGCCTCCACCACCACCTCCTTTTTATCCTGAAATTCCACCTCCTCCACCGCCACCACCAGTTGCAGGACCACCGGGCCCAGACGGACCCCCTGGAATGCCCGGTCCCCAAGGACCTGATGGACCTAAGGGACCACCAGGACCTCCTGGTCCACCTGGACCTCCAGGACTTCCTGGCCTTCCTGGCGCACCAGCAGGAAACCCTGGTCGCGATGGACCAATGGGTCCCCCCGGACCTCCAGGAAACCCGGGACCCCCAGGCGATATGGGACTTCCTGGACCTCCAGGACCACCCGGTCCAGCTGGCCAACCTGCTCCTCCAGGACCCTCAACGCCCTGCCCTAGTATTTGCGCTCATACCTGCCTATCTCAGTGCCCTTCAAGCTGTTGCCATTACTGATATACAATTGCAAAGTGACAAAAGCAGCAACAGTCGACATATAAAGCGTGAAGAATTCAAGATCGATTCAGGCCAGATTTTAGTTGCTACGATATTAGTTTTGTCGTTTCTAGTTTTCTAGTCGGCGACATATTTCATACGTTGTTTTGCTTATATATATTTTTGTGAATTTTGTGAATTTGAAATCTTATGTACATGTTATTTATGACAAGCCATTGCTAACAAATAAACATTGTTTTGAAATACTCCTTGATTGCATATTTATATACAAATACTAGTCCTTGTACAACTGATTTCAGCACATCGGACTAGTACGCAAGAACCGTGGGCTCATTGATGTGGTTTCGGGTTTTTCACCGTTGTAGAGATGTCGCCGGAGTATCGAGTGCTTAGGTAGAGAAAGATTGGGTATTCTAGTCGTCACCTTTAGGGGTTAAAATTAAAGTCTTGTCCGATACAAAGGAAAACGCAGAAGAACAACGCAAACGGTCGTACAATCGCAAGATGCACAATTTTTCCTTTTTTCTTGAATTGCGCTTGCCCTTGTAGTACTTCCGCTAGTACAAAGGAAACACAACGCAAGAGCAACTTCTTGCGTTTGCTTCTGCGCTTGTCGTTACGTCATCATTAAAAACCAGACTTCAATGATTCTGGAATTCCATTTCACGTAATTAGACTTATCAGGKTGTCCAAAAGGAAACTTATCAATCAGGAAAAAGCTTTCACAACAAATTATAATTAGATTCTTGTGTCACGTATTTTACAGAGCCCTGCCGCTTTGAAGGCTTTTTCATATCTTGAAATTTTCCCTCGGAGTTTCACTCCTTTGATGAAAGATTCTCAAGTGCAGTTTAAATAAAGAGACACACAAAAATACAATAATATATATCTCTATTTCAAAGTACTTAAATAATCTCCATAAATAATTTATATCATAAAAATATAAAGCTACTTTGTTACTTAGCCACAATAATTAATACAGTTGTCTCTGAAAATGTTTTAGAGCAAGCATGAAGATAATTTATATCGTAAAAATATAAAGCTACTTTGTTACTTAGCCACAGTAATTTATACAGTTGTCTCTGAAAATTTTTTGAGCAAGCATCAAGACATACAGCAGAGCGGATTAAGTTTCTTGATATCTTCAGAGGAGTACCAGGAGTTGCCTGTGTAGTAAGTTAGGGAAATTTACAGTAACAACGAATATTAGTTTAACGAGGGAGGGAATCTTGATTGCCACGCCACAGTTATCCCACTCCATTTCGTCCGTAAACAAGTGACAATTTCTTCTTCAGCAATGTAGCTAGTATCTGTTGGCTCTATACTTGCCATACCCTCGATAAACATAACCTACAAATTTACAAAATAAACTCATTAATGTGGAATGGGCATATATATATTGAAGTCGAGTAAAAGAATCAATTGAGTAAAAGAATCAATCAATCATCAACCAACCAGTTAATCCATCAATCAACCAACTAACCCACCAACCAATGAATCAACTAATCAACCAACCCATCAATCAATCGACCCATCAATCAACCAACCCACCAATCAATCAATCAATCAATCAATCAATCAACCAACCAACCAACCAACCAACCAACTCATCAACCAACACATCAATCAAACAATCTACCAACCAGGCAATCAATCAAATAATCAACAATCAATCATCAACCAACCAACCAGTACAGTTACAATCATATCAATGACCTTTTTAGATGGTGATGTGCTGCTTTTAATTCCAAGACCATTATAATGATAAACAGCAAAAGGGTTCGTCCACTGTGATTGATTACTCTGTCAAACAAACAAGCAAAATCAATAGACAAACAAAAGATTTCAAGATCTTACACAAGTTCACTCGACAGCCATTGATTATGATTACCTCACCAGGAAAGAATTCATCCATAAAATGTGGGAGAAGTATAACATCTATAGAGTCTGGGTCCAGCCTTGTTTTCATAAATTTCACACTGAAATGAAAATACTTTTTTACTTTTTATACTTTTTTTTGGGGGGGGGGGAGGGGGGCAGGGGTGGTAGGAGGTCAATGTAGGGTGATGAACAAACACATGTACATATACCCAAAGGAGTCTTCTTTATTGCATGAATCTACTGACATTAATATATACATACTATTCAGGATCGGTTTCAAAACCAAGTTTTTCCATAACTTCCAATAGCTTATCACTTTTTATAAATCCATTTTCTGTTAAAAAAGTAAGAATTTTAGAAACAGCACCTTAAACTCGATTAGTTATGGATAACTTGTTATTAGAATACTTGCCTTGTTCATCAAAAGATTTGAAGACCCTTTCAGCTTCTTCTTTAGGTGACTCTATTCCGGTCAGTGATTGGTCCTGAACAAATGAAGAACCAAAATAATGACTATTCTAGCAAGAATAGCATTCTAATGACATGTGTATCTATAGGGAGCCTAAGGAGGCCTAACCCTAACCATGATATAATAAAATAAACTTTAAACAAATATAAAACAAATGCACACAGTAAAAATCCAACTTTTTCACTCACAACACAAAACAATACAGTAATATGTGTTTCACTGCCAAGTAACCATATAGGATAAATAGGGCACTTCAAAAAACTACCAACCTGGGAAAAATATGAAAAAGGTTAAATTATTATATATTATAGTAATATTTAACAAATAGATCTCATTTTTCCGTGCGTGTGTACTCTAATAGATACACAGATGACGTCAAAATGTAGTGAGAACAAAAAAGTACGCACGAGACGCAGTCAAGTGCGTGACTGTTGTTCTCACTATATTTTGACGTCATCTGTGTATCTATTAGAGTACACACACACATGGAAAAATGAGATCTATCTGTTTTATACAACAAACAATTAGTTTTGACGTAATCCGTGTATCTATACTTTGATAACACATGAAAGCCAACCAATCAAAACGTCTGATTTTACTGAAAAGTTGTATAAAATAACATACAGCTATTTGCAATAATTGTGGCCCAGCTTATATTACGCTAATATTCATATATAGCAAAGTAGAACAAATCGTAATAATATTAGATATATAGACTTACTTCACAGTATCTGTGAGCTTCTAGTATAGTTAAAAATCCAATTTCAGACTGCTTAGGAATACCTTTTAGTTCTGGAAAATCAATAATTAACCAGCTAAAGTCATTAAACATTCAAATTGAATTAGTAGTACTTTTGTAGTCTTACCCAATCCTCCTACTGCTTTGCTTAGATTCCAAACATTTGAAACTGCTTTTCCAGTCATTAAAAGATTGATTAAAGTCTGACTATAATGAAACAATAAACTGAAATATTTATTTGGCAATGTGAATCAAATGTTAAGGGAATGAAAGAAAAAGTGAATGAATGAGAAAATGAATAGACAAATGAAATGATAAACAAATAAAGAGAATGATGTAGAAAATATGTGAAATGATTAGTGAAGGAGCAATTGAATGGATGCATATAAGAAGAAACAAATGAATGAATAAATGAATGGAAATGAATTAAAGATGGAATTTGCATGATTAATTGAATTRGCTCATCAATTGTCGATAGAATTGGTTGCAACTTTAATACCTTCCATAACCAAAATTTTCATCAACAAGAGGTTCTCCAGGATCACTCATTTCACTTTTAATTAACTCTATTCCCTTGTTAGAAGAAAGATTATTTTGTATCATTACATGTAGTTAACTAAGGAACCCAGTACCTTTAAGTTAAAACTCTATTACAATGAGTCATTACAAAAAGGAATGAAGAGAATTTTCACTGAAGAGTGGATTAAAAATATTGAAAATACTTACTCTTGTCAGAATCATGGAGTATAAAAACAGAAGAACACCAAAAAGACCTTCAAATATATGAAAGTTTTTTTCTATTAGTGACCTTGCTTCACTGACAGTCTTGCACTCAACATGGCTGAAAACAAAATAATACACACATCTAGATATAACGTTCTTATTAAATTTACCAGCTTTTATTTTTAAAATATGGAATGATTCTCAGACTAGGGCACCATTGTGCTTCACATGCACTTATCATGAATACATGATATTTAGCTTATGTACATCCGTTTCCACCCCTTCCCCCATTGGGAAAATTCGTGAAGGAATTTTATCCAAGGGGAGGAGGGGTAGGAATAAATGTACAATACACAGGCTCACAATATTATACCTTAATAAAGAGTGAATTTCTCTACTTGTTTGCAGATGGAGTTCTTGGTTACAAACTACTTTGTGATATTCAGTAGGTTCTAGTAGAATCAATTAATATAATAGATAATTCTAAGATAAATATAGGTATTTCATAGATAATTACATGATAAATAATAATACCTGTTATCTGTCTCCAATTACTTGTTGATGGAGGTATCATACCATCACAGAACAACACATTTTTTAGAATATAGGCCTAAACACATATARATTCAGAAAAACATATAAGAAAAGGAAGATTAAAATATGTTAATGTCACACTATTGAATATCATAGACAAAAAATGAAACTTCAAACCTGCACTGATGCAATCACWGCACAAGGTCCTCCTTGTTCTTGAATGAGAGCACTGGGTTCGTCAGAGCTAAATACAAAACCTGAAAAGATGACAACAACTTAGTTACAGAAAAACCTTGATCACTTGAATAATATCTATCAATATTCTATTATTTTCTCTAAATATTTTTTGACATGAATTGTAATCCATTGGCCTATCACAGTTATTTTTCTATTTGTAGGCCAATGGAATCATAAGCAATTGTAAATATATAATAAATTGAAATTGAAACTGAAATTGAAATTGTGTTGACAACAATTTGTGCAATTATTTTATTAATATTAACTTTTAAAAATTGCACTAAATTCAAAATAGAATATCTAAGATATCTACGATCAATATGAACACAAACTGATTCAAAATAAATCACAGAGAAACAAAAATTGAAATTGTTCGTTTCAAATCGTTTTGACAGTTTCGGAGACAGTTCATTCTCTCATGTATTAAAAATTTGAATCAAACAAACAATAATCGAGTATCTATTTAATGAAGAAAGAGAGAAAACCTTGAGTCCATCGTTTAAAAACTTCTTCCTTTATGTTTGGGCCCCACACAAGGAAAGACAACTCTTCAAAAGGGTTTGTTTTGGATGTGCTTTCTTTGCTCTCTCCATCCGCCATTTTGAATTTAACCCATAACCCACTTCGCGAGTTAAAAACTAAATAAACCAATCGGAAGTCGAATTAAAAATATTCTTTATAATATGTCTAGTCTGTTACTAATGGATTTTCGCCTTATTATTGATAGTTTATTGTGATTTATTTTATTGCATTGAATCATATATATTTGAATTTTCCAAGAATTTACCTAACAAAGTGTATAACCCATCATTCTTTGCGGTTCGGAACCCGCGACTTTTTTGGTCAGTGATCTTTCCCTTTTGTCCGCCATCTTGATTTCTTTGCAGTGAAAGTCAAAAATTTTATGTACGAGACATAGTGTTGTCAAGTGGGACTTGAAATGGCGTTTGGAGTTAAAGATATAACGTTTGAAGATCTTGAATCCAAGGAGGTTGAACTGACTTCTTCAGTTTTGATGGGAGCAGCGCATCATCTTGGCCAACATTGTGAAAAGGAGTTCAAGACCTTTATGGGCTGTCGTTACGATACCAAAGATCCAAGAAAATGCTTGCAGGAGGGAAAAGAAGTTACAAAGTGTGCTTTAGATTTCTTCAAAAAGCTCAAGGAGGAATGCAACGAAGTTTTTACCAAGCACTGGACGTGTCTGGACAATAACAATCAAGAATTTGGATACTGTCGTGAAACACAGAAGAAATATGATTCGTGTGTGTTGGACAAAATGGGACTGGAGTGTAATCAGCCAATTCACATTACTATGAGAGATTAACACTTACCCTCAAAGATGTATTTTGATTAGGAGAGTTGTCAAGTTTACTGAATGGAATTTGAAGCTGGTTTATTATTATTGTGAAATATGTTAATAAAATTGTGTGGCTCTTATAAAATTAATAATGTACCTTTTATATTGCTTTATAAATATTTATCTTGAACGTACTCCAGAAGATTCTTCTTTCTGTCTTGTTGTCATGCTATAGCTCTTTCAAAAGTTAAAAGACAAGAATGGTAATTATTTGGACCAGAGTTCAGATATGCAAGTAATTTTGTACATTTAGTGATAGACACCCATCAATCAAACAAATACCTTTTTGATATTGTGATGGTTTTGATTGAAGGCAGTCAGTCAGTAATAACAGCAATAAGGGCATCAAGCAGAAAGGAAAACAATGACCGGACACATGAGCATGATAATAACAGTCTCAATTTGAAGTGATATTCTATTTTTTAGGATTTATTACTGGTAACTAAAATCAATGCACCCACAACAAGAGAATTTGTAGCAGGTAGATAGCTGCAAAGCATGATGATAATGGCAAATCTGCTACTAACTATTGTGTAAGTAATTAATTGTATATTCTTTTTTTCCTTATGTTTTATTGTTTTTATCCTTGCCTGTAACTACCAATGTAACACTAAATGACAGGGGGCTAACTAGAAATTAGTTAATTTAGCCCTCTGGCTCTCGTTCTTTTACATAAATTTGCATATTCTCTATACTTATTTATCTTTTTATTACAAGCACCTTTTTTCTGTTAAGTTAAAAGCAAAAAAGAGCAATAAAACAGTTTCAGTTTCAGTTTCACACCAGCTCAAACTTTCACAGAACCAAAAATATTTGAGGTATTTAAAGTTTGCATAAAGAAAAATATCTGAAAGGGAAGAAAGGTGAGGTGAATCTAGAATGCTGTGTTCATCAACTGTGGTCAACTGGCATGGACTTTTGTTTCCGAGGATTTTGACATTTTAAAGGATGTGTAAAATGTGTTTGCTGCTCACTAGAACAATGCAATAACTTCAAAAAATACAACTTTTCAATAAAAATGATGTGAAAGTAAGAGCGATATTTTCATCCTAAATATACTGTACAACGAACAGAACCCCAAAAAACTTTAGTATTTGTACTTTGAAAACGAACAATTTGATTCCCTTCTTAACACTAAGAATGCTCGTACGGGCTTCCTGTCTCTAACTCTTCTCAAGTGACGCCTTGTAGAAATCGACTCTGCGAGGTCATTTTGACMGCGAACTTTGAGTGATTTTCCCGCTCCGGTGCTCAAAACTATGAAGTAAACTGCTTACTCAAATCATAGCATATTTTAAGATACTTCAAGTTGTGTAATTTTGATTTTTCACCGTTCATATTCTCGGACTATTCAAACAAAATGGACAAGACTGTTAAAGGAGAACGACCGATGATCATGAGGAAGATACAATGTAAGTTCAGTTGTTTTCAATCTAATGATAATTATTATTTATATATCAAAAGAATTAATGAGACAGGACAATTTAAAAAAGAATACTCATAACTCATTTTAACGTACCATCATCAGATGTGAAGGTCCATGACTGGATGATGAAACGGRACACAAGCTTGGTAAGTTAAGCTTATTAATTTTCAACTGCTTATGTTATAATCTTACTCTGAAGATATTAGAAGTTGAATAAAGAATAGCACTTTTACTGAAATTTCAAACAAAAGTTAGAAACGTTAACATAATTAAAAAACAGTAGATTTTTCGTAGCCTGCGTCACATCTGGACAAAGCACGATTGTCAGGATGTGACGCAGGCTAATTTTTTGAAGGTTTTGTATACTGATTCTCACAATGAAGAATCTTGGAAACCCCCTGGGAATAATCTCTTCCTTAAGTTGGAGATGACATTCTTATTAAGTTGTAATAGTAGAGATACAAAAAGAGAATTACAATTTATTAATGAAATCTGTTTTATTTATATGAATATCACTGGATATATACAGTACATGTATGAACACTGACCATTAACTAAAACAACATTTGATCTTRG